CAAAATTGACCCTTATGACTGGTTTTGTGCTCCAGGGACACATATAGTTAATGTTCACAAATAAAACATGAGGAGGAAGCTTTAGGAGAGGGTTCAAATGTGAGCATGAGTCAGATGAGCACATGGTGAACTTTACATTGCATTAAAGATGCTGAGCTAAATAATTATAAAATTAAATAGAAAATAAATTAAATGACATATTTATAAATAAATAATTGCTTTTTCATAAATATAAAAATACCTTTAGATGCTTTTTATTTTAGTTGGTAAAGGTTTTGAGATTTGTGTGTGTGTGTGTGTGTGTGTGTGTGTGTGAGAGTGAGTGAGTGAGTGTGGTGTGTGTGTGTGTGTGTGTGTGTGTGTGTGTGTGTGTGTGTGTGTGTGTGTGTGTGTGTGTGAGAGTGTGAGTGTGTGTGTGTGTGTGAGTGTGTGAGTTTGTGTGTGTGTGTATGTGTGAGTGAGTGTGTGTGAGTGTGTGTGTGTGAGTGTGTGTGTGAGTGACTAAAATAATATTTTTTTCTACTTTATCTCTAACTCTTTTCCATATACCGCAGTAAGCCATCAAAATATGAATACAAACTATAATAGTATCTCAATGAAAAGAAAATAACATCTTGAATAATGAAAATAGTTTTTTATGGTTTAAGTTTTAATTTTAGTTTTGTTAACTAACAATGCAATCTGAAATTCATAAAAGGCATGTTACTTTTATAATTTTGTTTGTTATGTATGCAATAATAATTATTGACCGTTTTTAGATGCATTTTAATAGAGCGCTCAGTCGAATGAAAATGTTAATTAAATTACTTACTAGCTATGCTGAATTTATATGAACTAATGTCAGTCATAAATCATTTTTGCCAAGAAAAGATGCCTTAAACATGACTAATAACTGACATGATTGTAGCTTATGAATAAGTCACCGAATAGACATAAAGTAGCTTACATATATATAGTCCTTATGTTGCGTTTTATTTGCAGATCATTGAACAGTAATTCACTCATTTTCATCAACACTGAGCTACAGAAAGTCACATTTCAGAGTTTATAAAGAGTTTCCCTTGACATGCGCTCGTTCAAAGTCAATCATGAGAATCCTTTGCATTTCAGAGGCGGTATTTGTACAGTACAAGGACTATAAATTCATAAAACACTACAATCATAAAGACTTAATTTTTTTTTTTGCGCTTTAACGGACTTTTATTTTGCAGTCGAGCGTGTCTAGTCGTGAGTTCCTGTGAAGCGGCGCTCTGATTCGGCGGCGGGCGGAAGTGATGTCACGTGTTGTGGATTGAGAGGGAGTTTGTAAGCGGGTTCGTCTCTCACAGACTACAATAAACCACATAAACCGGTTTTCGTGATCTGGATTTCGGTACAGTGTTCTTGATGTAATGTATTTGAGTCTCTGAATGCTTCCAGCGCGGTTTCTGCCGCTTTAGTGAGCGCTGTAAAGCGGCTCTATAGTTCGCTAGCAGTGAAGCATGCTAGTTAACTCGCTAAACTAGTCGTTTATATGGCACTCCTTTTATATAAACTAACCTTAGACCAGCTCAATTAGTCGTTTACCTAAACTAGATCAGCTGGTCCTGATGATTGACAGCTGGCCAGTCTCAATATAAACACACAGTCTGAGGAGAAATATTAACTTTGCATCTTTAGTGTTTCACATTTTTATTTATTTATTTATTTGTTGTTGACAATGATTTAGTTTGCTGTTGATGTGTTTATTATTGTGTATTTTTGGGAGGGGCAAAATACTTGACATTTATGTTGCATTTCATTGACATTTATGTCAAGTATTTGAGTAGAATATGTTGTGGTTTTTAATCTGTAGCATTGTTATCACTCCTCTGGCATTATTACTCAGTGCCATGGTTAATATCTTACTCTGGTTACCACCGTATGCCATATTGAATAGATTTTACAGTTGTTTACAGTATAATTAGCCATGAATGATGTCTGATTTGTGACCGAATCGTTCTTTTGAGTCGACTCGCAGATCGTTCTAAATGACTCATTAGCGAATCAGTCTGAATCTGAATGATGCTTTTGTTTTTGTTTTTGTTTGTTTTGGTAAAACTCTTATCCAGCAACTTATAAACAACTGGAAAAGTTGTGGGAAAGTGTTTTTCAAAGTGTTGAAACCCTGTTTATTGTAGATCATAGTGTTATCCAGGCTTTCGTTTACATAATGATCATTTTCACTGTTGAAGAAATGATATCTGTTTGTTGTCCAGTGTTTTCAGGTTTTATGAGACCAGAAGCGAGTGTGTAACTTGAGGAACATGCCTGAAATCAAACTCAAGCATGTCGTGTCATGCAGCAGTGAGGACAATGTAAGTCGTTTGTTTTTGTTTTGTTTTTTAATAACAGTAAGAAGTTTAATAGCAGTAAGAAGTGGCTTTTCAAAACCTGAAGGCCGCTTTACAATCAACGCACAATAATCTGCAAACCCGAGAAATCTCTGTATACGAGTCCGGAGACTGCTGGAATTGTTAAAAGTTTTGAATTTGATTCATTGAACTCAAATTCTGTTTTACACTGAGGTTTAAATGAGAGCTGCTGTTAAAACATCCGTCTGAACACGAGTCACAAGATGAGGAAGAATCATGAAACTAGTTTCACAAGTGTAAATAAAAGCACTGTGTGTTTGTGTTAGAGCCCGACCGATATATCGTTTAGCCGATATTATCGGCCGATATGAGCCTGTCGCCGATATATCGGTACCGGCGAATATGCCGCCGATATGAATTTTTTTTTTACATAACACATGACGCAGATAAAATGCTTGAAATGGTGTACTTACTTAGTTTGTCCAGCAGAGCGCGCTCCATTGTTTGCTACTGGCGACCTGGATGAAACGCTTTAAAGCTTAAGTCTATGGAAAACCATTGACATTTTGAACGGCCATATTTCCGTAATGGCGCAGCGGATCCGCACCAAATTCGGGGGATCCCTTCAGCTCGAGGAACCCTCTCGAACGCGAGAATGAGACCACCCTTGCGTCGATAGCCCCCGGGGTTCGGGAGTTACGGGTGGTTAAATTCGCGGTCCGGCGCCGAC